ACAAAAAATTACAAGCTGGAAATTCCTTCAGCATTAAAATCATTGCATCGCCCCTTTTAATAATCTTGATTTCGATCCACCGCCCAGCCCGTCTCACGTTGTATTGTTACCTTTGTTCGGTCAGATCTCTCGTATAACAGGGACATAATAAACGAAAACGACCTAAATCCGCTCGCAGTTTACGCCAGGGCCGTAAGCTTGTCGAAACTGGAACACACAAAATGTAATTTACGAAATAGCGTCTCGGCCCACCAGGCAGTGCGCCAGCGCCGTGCATGAAGCAGTCAAGAAACTTCTCAAACTGACAAAATGAAAAAAAAAAAGATGGCCCCCAGAAGTTTTTATCCTAAAATATCCTAACACGAACAGAGAGGGTCCCCAAACAGCACACTTGCTTGGTCTGGCTGGAGCCAGGATTGGGCCTTGGCCGTAGTAGACTGGACCGGGACCGCCCAGGGAATTCGGTGAACTGCCAGCCTGGCGTCTCGCCGTATTTCCCGGGCACCGGTATGCCACGGAACTGCCAGGGAAGTAATTTTTTTGGCGTTCCTTGTCTTTTCTTGGTCCGAGCAGACCAGTGTAGACAGGCGGCCACCAACATTGAAGTCTTAGTGGCGCTTCAGTGTGTTCATTGGCCCCAGGATTCTACGGAACTGCCAGGGAAGTGATTTCCTTGGCGTTCCTTGTATTTTGTCGGTCAGAGCCGACCACGGTAGACAGGCGGCCACCAACATTGAAGTCTTAGTGGCGCTTCAGTGTGTTCATTGGCCCCAGGATTCTACGGAACTGCCAGGGAAGTGATTTCCTTGGCGTTCCTTGTATAGTCTTGGTCCGAGCCGACCAGGGTAGACAGGCGGCTACCAACATTTAAGGATTTTGCGGCGCTTCATTGTATTCATTGGCCCCAGGATTCTACGGAACTGCCGGGGAGTGGTTTCGGGTGTCGTTTATGTTCGCAAGATTCAGCGCGCCAAGGAATGACGGACGATTACTGTCGTTCATTATTTTTTGGCTGGAGCTTGCTTTTCATCGGACCCTGAAGTACTCGATACGGCCACTTTTACTTACATAAACTTAAAATGTGTTTTTAGCTTGCGCTTATATTCATTTAATTTAATTTAATTCATTATCACATAGCTTCGTCTACGAGTTCTGCGCTTAGACCTTTGGCCAGAACCTGTTTCCTCCTTTTCTTTCTAGGAATATCGCGCTTGTCGGCGTGACGCGATCGTCGGGCTTTATTGACACGGCCGTGCCGACAGTACATCGCAACCGCAAGCAGGATCCGCAAAACAGCACCCCCCCCCCCCCCCCCCCCCCCCGGACTGATTTCACAAAAACGCCAAAAACAAGAAACTGTTGCACTGCATGTGTAAATTAGAAAAGACAATACAACACATTTAATCAGATTCCAGAGGGCCGGTGTTCATTCCAGAACGAAGTAACTAATCGCAAATCAGTCGGCGCTTCAAGAAAAATAACGTAAAAAAATGGTACTCAATAAATCTGCATACCTTGCAGCGGTGTTCAATTATGCGTTCGCTCAAACCCCGCGTTTTTTTTTTTTTTAGACTGAAAAAAAATTGACCGGTGTTTAAGTCAAACTCACCGTTCCAACTTTAAATAAATAACAAAAATCAGTTTTACATGGTATGTAATTGCAGCCTGGTGGTGCGTTTTATTCGCGAAAGCGAACTTGCCTCAAAAGCTTCAAGCAAAAAATGCTTTCAAAACCCACATGTTCTAAGCCTTGCGACACGCAAAACTTCGACACGAGAAAGGCTTAGATGTCGGCTGGTATTTCTAAGTTCAAGGAAAGGCAAGACTGCTCTCGCTGCACCGGTGTCGTCCCAATACGGCTGAAGCCTCAATTCGGCTATTGCCTCAATTCGGCTAGAAGTTTCAATTCGGATGGACGTTCCAGTTCGGCTACATCCTCAATTCGGCTAGAAGTTTCAATTCGGCTGGAAGCTTCAGTTTGGCTAAATCTTCAGTTCGGCTACAAGTTTCAATTCGGCTGCACGCTTCAGTTCGGCTAGATCCTTGTTTCAATTTGGCTGGACGTTCCAAGTTGATCAAGCTAGACATCCAGGCATAAGGTGCCCCCAATTTTTTTCGAGATACGTTAACTATATCTGCATCTTGCCTTAACATTCCAATGTTCCAAGGAAAATAGATGGGCCGGTTTACCGCAGTCAATTATAACTGGAAGTAAAATAAGAATGCGAGCGAACAGTTCTCTCGAGCGTTGAATAAAAAAAAATCGAGGTAAAGCGAAAACAATTATGATTGTTGTTGTTTTTTTCGAGCAGTTTGTAAAACAAAAAGAAATGCGTTGAAATTGTTCGGCTGAAACGACCACGTATCACGGAGAGAGTACGAAGCAAGGAGAAGCAAAACCTACTTAATTTCATCGCATTTGATGTTAACCCCGAAGAAATCAAATCGCCATAAATCGACACTTGCTTACCTGCACGGTTGGTTGGTTGGTTGAAAGATCCGGCTTGTTGGCTGCAAGGGGTGACCTTTGGCAGAGCTACGTCGCTGGGTGGCTCTTCGCTGATAATGTGCCCGCAGAAACATTTTCGCCCCTTTATATAACTTCATCTTCCGCGAGGGAAAGTGTCCGCTCCAAGAACATGTGACTTCCCTCGTTTCCCTCAAAGACACAACATCTCCTTTTTTGGTAATGTTCGACGCTCGGTAAGAGAGAAAACTCGCGCTCCTTTTAAAGACCTCTTCTGGCCTCTCCTTTTTTGGTCATGAACCTCGTCCCTGCTACCAAATAAGGGCATTGAACATGGCACAAGTCTGTTCCATCCCAATCCTCCTTTTTCCTGGCATTTTTGTTTTTAACTCTAAGACGTCTAGTAACGCGAGCACTCTAGAAAAACAAACAAAAAAGAAAAATATCGACTTGACCTAGCAGACGCAATATGCGCACGGCCTTCCCTTGAAACCTGCCAACTAAAAATACGCTAAACAAAAAAAGCTTTGTGTGCTTCATTCTCACGCCTTCACGGGGCCTAGCCCCCCCGCCCCCCCGCCCGCTCGCCCGCAATATCAACGGCGCGAGACGCGATTTAGTCGATATAGTCACCTCCTTTCCACTTGCTTTCTCTCTCGGAATTTCGGGCACAAGGAGGAGAGGTGGATCAGTTTCGCCTTCACGTTGAGGTACGGAAAGAGCGGATGACCGAATGACCATCTCGTTGAGCGAATGACCATTCTGTGACGTCATGGATTTTGCGCGCAGAATTTCAAATAAATCTCTCGCCGTCAGTATTCTCTAAACAATTTTTTTCGCGTAAAATTTATTTTTTGACACACGTGTCCCAACCAGACTGTTTAAAAAAAAACTTTTTTTTTCTTTTCAGGAGTTCTTTAAAGGTGTTCACTAGAAGTGAAAATCACAACTACGACAGAGCCCAGCTACGCCTACCGTAAAATCCCGAGAAAGTGCCCACTCCAAATTTAGAGATTAAATGGGGGATGAATGCTTCCTAGGTCAACAATATGTAAAAATAGGTCTTTCGTGTATTCTCATAATGTAACGAAATTGACGGGTGAATTGTGGAATGGGCGAATGCTCGGTATTTTACGGCAATCAACATGATTCATCAACCATTTCACGATACCCATGTATCATTCCTTAAATCTCTAACCTGACAAAAGAAAGCACGACCACAACCAATGATGCACATAACATGTCAGAATATCACAGTCTATCATATAAAGTTATAAACTAACGAGTATTATTTTGCAATCTTTACTGCTACATACAAGTCGCCACATAAACATTCAGCAGTTTTCATTTCTTTTTTTTTTTTCTTCTCTTTTCTTTTATTGTGCGGTTACGCATTATTTTACCGTGGAGGAGCGTTCTGCCCATTGACACGAGGCTGCACTGCGGCTAAGTGAGACACACACAAAATTGCGAAATCTACTGCGTGGACCTGGTACTGCGTGGACCCAGCATGTGATTGAATCGGAGTCCTCGTCAAATGCTGACGCAGCACAGGTTTTCGATACGAGCCGAGCCAAGCCAAGCCAAGCTCCGCCGAACGCTAACACGGGTCTCATGTCCAATACATGCTCAGGGAAGGAGCCTAAATGGCGGACACAACTTCCAAGTACTGGTCATGTTCGATACAAAGATCAAATTAGATTACACCTTTCAGCAATGCGAACAGCAAGTTGTCTGCCTCTTGCGCACGAGTTAGGGTGGCGTGAGAGCGACGCCGAGCTCCGATTGGCTACTATTAAGAGGACAGTGGGCAGACCTCAATGCTGGATGCCTCGAGGTCTACCCACTACTTTTTTTAATCAGCCAATGAGAGCTCGGCGTTCCGACAACATTGCAACCCCTGTGCAAGAAGCTGACGAACTTGCGCTCCACGTAACCTAAAGTTTTGAAAATTTGCCCAAGCATAACGTAACAATCCGGCAAAAAAGTGAAATGTGCTTTTTGCACAACCTTGGCTCGAATTGCTCTTGTTTTGGTGCAATGTAGCAGAACGTAGATGGGGGAGCATCTCTGGCAAAGTATGGTGCAAATGGCACAGCAATCACATCACTGCTTTCGTATTTAGGGCATCGGTCTGCGAGGGAATAGTTATTGAAGGAAAAGTCACTAAGCCTTCCTCGGAAAATTTTTAAAATGTCACAATCCTTGTTGACCAGCTGGGACTTATCGTGAATCATGGAGAATGTAACGCAAGAAAGTAATAATGGTGCAGTCCTCTGTCCAATGCACATCTTTGCTATGTTTACGGCCCTAACACATTATACCAGTGGTTCTCAATCACTGATATTTCGCGGATGCCTCGTCGATCGGTGGAGATGAGGAGGACACCCTTTCATGGAGAGGGCAAGGGAAAGCTAAAGGTTAATTATGATAATGATTTAATAAATGAGTATAACTAGTAAGTGCTAGTGTGAAGCATACTTCTCTTATTGACATAGGTACACAGGAGAAAACTCATTCAAAAATTGGAATGTTTCTTCTCAATGAGATAGAAAACAACCTTTATTGCTGGGATTGACTGATGAGGCAGAGCTTCGCACACCCCTCAAATGCCTTTGCGAATCACAGGGTCTACAGACCCCCATTTGAAAACCACTGCATTACACTATGCAAAAAGTGTCAATGAAAACCAAGTACTTACCATACACAACATTGCCAGTGAATGATCCCGTCTTTTATGTAAAACACTGTAAATAAATGTTTTACGAAAGAAAGGAAAAATTCCTCTGTTGGCACAGTGGTAATGAATCGGCTTTATGCACAGGAGGTTACGTGTTCGATTCCCGGCGAAGGACAGTGCCTTTTGAAAAAAATATCTAGCCTTCTTTCCATGCTCTCAAATTACATTACTTGAGGCTAAAGGCTTGAAAGAAAGCACTAAAACACATTCCATGCTGAAATTACTCCACACTTCCTTCAGTTAACCCCAATGTGCAACAGCTGAAAGAAGCAACAGCGTGGAAGTCGAAACTCCATCAAACATTTACAAGAGTGAACCCGAAATCTGGTCACACATTTATTTCCTGCAAGTTCCTTTGCATATAAGAGTAAATAAAAATATAAATAAAAATTATTACAATTCTCTGTCATGTGAAATTAGAGTGCAGCTCTTGAGGAGGAGGAGGGGAGGATATGCCTCTCCTCCACCTCCATACCCTCCCTCCTCCTCCTTCTCTCCTCCTGCCGCTGAATTTGTTCATGGGTAAGGTGATACGAAGTCGTGACGTCATTTTCCTCGCTAAATTTAGCGGGGAAACTGAATTGGTGTTGAGGTCCATGAGAAGTCGATTTCCCCGCTAAATGTAGCGGGGAAACGTCCGGTAATGCAACGCGCTATTACGCCGACGCCACTCAACCCGCAAACGGGAGCCTAAGAGCTGCTCTGTAAAACCACCACAATGAAGATTTTTAGTTGATTAGACCACACCTTGAGCTACAGTGCAAAGAAACTTGGACCAGAAGCCATGGCCCAGTGTGCATTCAAAGGCCAATCATCAAGTTAGCTCCTCTGTTCCACCTCACTATACGAAAAAAAAAAAAAAATTCAAGATTGTTTTGCGTTTCAGTGACTAGCCTCTTGAACCTTGCTGGCTAGAAATTATTACCCAATACCTTCGTGAGATGACAAACAGTGGCACCTGGATGAAAGGCTGATGAGCAATGTCACGTAGTACAACTCCAAGAGCACGATCTATGAGCATGACCAAACTTGAATTGCTACAATGCTCGTGCTTGATGTAAGGATTTCTCGGAGGAGGTTCAGGGTGCTCGGTTAATATGCAACATGATACTCGAATCCCGTCTCGAAAGAAACAAGGCCGTTTGCACAGACAAGAAAAAACACTCCATATACACAAGCAAACTACAAGTGCCATGCACAGGTAGAAATAGAGCAGATGTATGAGTCTTACAATGAGATGCTCTCAGAAGTGGCACACAACTGTGAAAAGGATCATAGAGCGAAACTCGATAGTTCACAAGGAAACTTATCAGTTCGTCGTGTTGCTGAGACGTGGGATGCCTGGGTGCTGAAGAGGTGACAAGCCAGGGGCAGTGGTGAGGCCGGCGGACTTGAGGCAGAAGCGAGGCAACATCAGCGGTCGGGGTGGCGTGTCCGGGGAGATGGCGCTACCGTGATCTTATTATGCTCGTCGGGAACACGCGCACCAGCATCCGTCACCTGACAACTTCTACTTCTGTGCCCCACTGCATCGATGTGGTCAGTGTTCTGAACCGTTCGAACGTCGTATCTTCTTCGTTGTCGTCTTCACACTCGCACAGCACGTGTACATTCTGTGCAGCACGCAGCCGCACGCGTCGCATTTGAAATGCCTATTTCCTGCCTGCATCTTCATGCAAATGCGCTCATGGTCAGTGGCGGGCAAAGAATTCGGTAGAAACTCCACCTTCAGCGCGCGCTCACTGCCCTCTGCCAGGCTTTGGCTGCATACACGACAAATTGTTGGCTCATGTTGGAGGCAGAGCGCCTACCAAATTCTTGACCTGCCGCTGACTGTAGGTTCCTTGATCCACGCAGAGGCATGTGCCTGTTCATGCAAGACCAGTTAAAAAATGTCCCGGGACATGGCTGGCATTTTAAAGGATCATTGTGCATATGCACTTCAGTGTGGCCAGGTAGACAATTACTCCAACCAACAGCTTTACGGCATTACCTGTACCTATATATTTCGATTGAAATTGTACACAATCGTGCATGAGTTAGTAACCAACTACATGTATTATAAACATGGTTCAGTGTTTTTGGAGTACATCAACAAGTCCCAAAAAAGTAACCACGGAGTCAATCTTATCAAAAGCAGGGAAAACTGAAAACAAAAACAATTTGGAGCTGCCATTGAATCAGAAAAATCCAAGCTTCACAGGACGAAATCTTTTCTACAGCCCCATGTTGTGTTCACCGAAGACACAGCCCTCACTGAACTGTCTGCAAGGCAGTTCATTGAGAGCTGTCTCACAGAACTGCCTTGCAGTTCAGTGAGAGACAGCCTTGTTTTTTTCTCTTACCGGTACTGGGTTGTTTTCAAAGTATTTGGGTCATGCACATGGTATTGGAAGCTGGGTAATCCTATGCCCATGTCCTGCGTTTTTCAACGTAAAACTCGATAAATGCCAAGATTTACTTTTGTCAGACGCCAAAAATGAACACCGAATCTGTGGGAAAAATTAGCCCCAAAAAGCCACCCTTAATTTGAAGAAAAATAAAGCCTAAAAGCATGAAATTTTTGTTATAAAACACAGCAGGTTCAACTTACAGGTTCACTTGTAAGTGAAAATGTTACGGTTCTCACTTACGGTAAATGTGTCGAATCAGAAGACTTTTCCAAGCAAAGCCTTTGGGGTATTGTTTTCACTTGTAAGGTTTGTGGACTTGGCGCATCTGAATGTGGCTGGCCATGTGTGTAAGACTAGTGGAGGCCTTGGAGAACAGGTTTTACCTGTAAGCTTTTTCAGCCATCTCTTTGTCATGGCCAGCCAGACTGGAATTCTGAACAAAGCTTGGAAGCAGAGCCTTCACTTACATGGCTTTTAACCGGCATGTGTCTCTGGTTGTGGAGGATCAGACTTCTATTCTGAGTAAAGGCTTTGGGGCATTGCTTGCACTTATAAGGCTTTTCACCACTGTGTATTCGGTTATGGCAGGACAGATGGTAACTCTGAGCAAAGGCCTGGGAGCACAGCTTGCACTTGTATGGCTTTTCTCCTGTGTGTGTTTGACTGTGGCGGATTAAATCCCTACTCTGAGCAAAGACTTTGGGGCACAGCTTACACCTGCTAAGGTTTTCACCCGTGTGAAATCGCATATGGCGGATCAGACTGAAATGCCGAGTGAAGGCTTGGGAGCACACCTTGCACTTATATGGTTTTTCGCCTGCATGTGTCTGATTGTGGCAGATCAGATTCCTACTCTGAGCAAAGGCTTTGGGGCAGTGCTTGCACTTGTAAGGCTTTTCACCACTGTGCATTTGGTTATGAAAGGTCAGACAGGACTTTTCAGCAAAGGCCTTGGGGCATTGCTCACATTTATAAGGTCTTTCACCTGTATGAGTTTGAGTGTGGCGGGTAAGTGTGCTATTCTGACCAAATTCTCGAGGGCACAACTTGCATTTGTATGGCTTTTCACCCGTGTGTGTTAGATTGTGGCGAATAAGACTCTTATTCTGAGCAAAGGCTTTGGGGCACTGCTTGCACTTGTAAGGTTTTTCCCCTGTGTGTGTTCTATAATGGCGGGTCAGAGTGGCATTTTGAGCAAAGACTTGGGGGCACAGGTTGCACTTGTAAGGCTTTTCACCCGTGTGCGTTCGATGGTGGCGGGTCAGATGCTTACTCTTAGCAAAGGCTTTGGGGCATTGCTTGCACTTATAAGGTTTCGGCTTTTCACCCGTACGTGCTTGAGTATGGTGGATCAAAGTGGAATTCTGAACAAAGGCTTTGGAAATCTGAAGGCAGCTGCCAGACTTCTCTTTCAGATCTTTACACACACTAGACAGAGGGGGCTTCATCCTAATATAAATTTTCAGAGGGCTGGCATACTTTAAGAACTCATCACCTGCGTGCTTTTGCATGTGGCTGTTCAATTCAAGCATAGAGACAAACGACATGGGACAATGCCGGCACTTAAACAGTTGCGTGTCACCATGGGCAACAAGGTGGCTCACAATTTCACGCTGATCTCTGGTGACATAGGTGCAGGAACAGCATCCAAAGCAGATGTCCTCAGTGACTTTCAGTGGGCAGCTGGTTTCTCCCAACAGTGTGGCTTCATCAGCTGTAAGGAAAAGACCTCGTAAGTATTATGATATACAAGGAAAGCTCAACCCAAATAGTCAATTTGCTTGGAAAAGAGTTGTCATTATTGAGTGATTTCAGATAAAAGGGACCAAGAGTGACTAGTAACCTTTTCAATTAACTTGCTATTTCCATGTCACTGCAAATCAATAGTACAAATGTATCCATAAATGTTTCGCGCAGAAAAACCTTGAGACAAAAACTGTAGAGCATGAAGAGGTAAACACTTGCACTGATGTGTTCCATGTACAGAAGTGACCAAGTTTGGCAGTAAGTATAACCAAGTAATATGAGCAGAGGTCAAACTTTTTTAGAAATTATGTAAGTATATGCAAGTTGTTATAAATAATAATTGTTTATTTTCTAACGAGTATATTTATATAAAATTATAAACATTGTGCCTTAAGAGGGGGGTGCAACGATTTTATGATTAACAGAATTTGCATCTCGTCGTTTTTACATTGTTTATCGCGTCCCAGAGGATAGAGGAAACACCTCCATTAAAAATGCCGCGATTCCGCTGCATAATCACAAAACAAAAGTCGAGCTTTTCCCCCCACCTGCAGCCCCAAGTGGCAGCCGAAGGAACTATGGCAAGAAGATTACGTGACCTCGCTCGGCTCTAAGCTCCAGGTGTGACCCTGAAGACTGGGAGTGAGTTGAGGGGTGCCCGAAATGCCAATATTTATCTTTTTTTACGCAAGAACTAGGACACGCAGGCACAATTGGTTTTCTGTTTTTTACTTCCCAAGTGTCAGAGGGCAACTTCCACAAATTTTTGACAGAAGTCCGGAAATTGTTGCACCCCCCCCCCCCCCTTTAAGTAACCATCTAAATTTTGAAGGAACTTTGAATTTGTAAATATAATTTGGACAGATCTATCAAAAAAATCTGGGGAGGGTACAGTAATGTGGTTTGTGCAAGTGAGTTATATAGCCAGGGGGAAAATTGCAGCGGGATAATCATCCCAATAAGTCTAATAATTAACAAAAAGTTTTTTTACTTTTTAATCAGTAAAAATGGACACCATGCTTCAAGTCTCTCTAAAACTTTCCAGCTTAGTGATTTCTGATGCTCAGCAAGTTTTGAGTAAAAGAATGCATATTTTCACAAACTAAAAAGCTAATAAATAAATTTTTGTGAATTATTCAACTTATTCTGACGATTATGCCCTTATATTATGTCTCCATGGCTGAAAAATTCACCAGCACATACCACACTTGCATACTTCTAGTGGCATTTTTTAAAATATATCTTTAAATTAAAACAAAACATCCTGTATTAGTTACAAAGATGAAATTCTAAAAGAATGTTTGTAGCAAAGTGGTGACCGAATTGAGAGGGTGAAGATTCATTGAGCCGTCACAATGGAGCAATAATAATAATCTTAATATTAATTCATTTATTTCTATCTACACAGATGGTAGAGGTCGAGGGAGAAAGCAGTGAAATACAGCTTAACAAGGCCCTCAACCCCCTACATAGGCGCAACAGCAGAGGTACAGGAAAAACTGCTATTTCGTGCGAAAGCACAAAAGGTGGATATTATACGAGCGCAACACAGATATTCAAGATTCAGTAATCCTGGAAATATTAAACAAACCGCCAGATCACTCGTATTTTACATATCTAGGTTTACAAAGTATTTTATAAGTTGCTTAAATGACATTTTAATCAGATCCAACTTACTGGCATCAAACTGGTTGAGAAATTTAGGCAGCGTATATCCAATCATCCTAGAGCCGTAATTTGTCCTCCTCGCCACCACCTCCCAATGTTCTGCGTGACGAGTGGGGAAAACCGGTTCCTTCACAAATAAATGTGCCAAATTTGTAAGAAAACACCAGTTTCTGTTGCTTTCCAATTTGACTGTATTGCTAGGTCTATAGTTGTATAAATTGTATATATTAATAATGCAGAGAGCCGTGAACAGACCAGTTATAGAGTCAAACGAAACGCCACCGATAGATCTCAACACCCTTTTTTGTAATAAAAATATTTTCTCAAGATTGAATAATGTAGTTGAGCCCTAGATGAGATAGTACTAATTTAACTGGGAATGAAACAGTGAATTATAGATTAGTAATTTCACAATCTTTGGCAAAATTGATCGACGACGGTATATCAACCAATCTATTCGTGACAGTTTAGGGATGATAAAATTAATGTTAAAGTTCTAGGACATAATTTCAGAAAAAAATTACTCCCAGTGCCCTAAAATGACTCAGAATCTCAACTGGAGTTAAATTTAGAGTGATATCTCGCAATAGTTTATTTTTTGTGTGAAAAAGTACAGCTTTTGTTTTGTTTATGTTTATTTGTAATGAGTTCTCCCGACTCCAAATTTCCAGTTTGGATAACGCCAGATTTGCCGTGTCTACTAGCACATCGCAGTCCTCTCCCAAAATAAGTATTGTTGTATAGCCGGCATAGTTTACAAATTTGACATTTGGGTTAATGTTTACGATGTCATTTACATATAGGTTCAAAAGGAGGGACCTAATATACTGCCCTGACGAACACCACGAAGTATTGCTTTTACTGAGGAAGAATTCCCGTTTTGACAAACATACTGGGCTCCATGCTCCAGGTAAGACTTCAAAATCTCTAACGCGTGGCCCCAAATGCTATAAATGTAAAGCTTTTTTAGTAAAATTCTGTGATCAAGGCAATCAAACGCTTTTGTAAAATCTACAAAAACTCCCAAAACCATTTTTCTTTTTCGAAACTTTGCAAGATAAACTCTTTCTGCACAAGCGAAGCGGCCTCGTTGATTGATGTTTCCTTAAACCAAATTGCGATAGTGTCTTTTATTTATCATGGCTGGCCGCTTGTGCTCTGGGAACCCAGCAGGCAAATGTCGTAATTCTTCCATGCCCAGTTCATAGCAATGCTGTCCTCATAAATAGATATAAAATGATGTAAACATCAAGTATGTATGTAATACAGTTGCCGACATACAAGCACACTAACACGAGATCAAAACCAAAACAAAAAAACTTCCGACAATTAAAAAAAGGAAACATCTTCAATCTTTAAATATTTGTACTAAATATACGCCAGGTGTGTCAAACTCATTTGAGTGTCAGGGCCAGAAAGACTCTCCCCAAGAGGTCAAAAGCCAATGTAGGATGGGAGGGGGAAAAGGGTAATGTGTATTGAGGAAACAAAATGTGGCAGCAGTGTTTTACGCTGCAAAGCAGCCGATTCTCTATACACCTAGGAGGTTTCCTTAAAAAAATACCTACCGTAAAATACCAGGCAAGCGCCCACTCAAACTTTGGAGATAATCGCAAAAAAATGGGGGATGGGCGCTTTTCCGGTCATCAATTTTATATATAAATGTACTGTGCGTATTTTCTCAGATCTTATAGATTTGGAAATGGGCACTTAATGTAGAATGGGAGGAAGTGCGGTATTCTACGGTAGTTCTTTCTCATTTTTGTTCCCCACTGGCTTTTTTGCCATGACATTGTTAGCTTCGATTTTCATATGACTGCTTTGAGACAATACCTGATATGATAACAAGGTATATAGAATGACACTGCCCCACCAACATGCTGGGATTTCTTAACAGAACAAGAGAGTAAGCCTGCTGTCGTCACCCTGTCGATCAATTCACTCACAAGTCTAGAACAAAATTCCTACGACAGTTTTTGCTTTCCAGACCATATTTATATCAGTATTATAAGAGAATGCTTGTATTTTAACGGATCCTCTTAAAAGCTAGAGGGCCGAGCTCATAGCTTTATTTTTGGCAATTTCTCCTTCTGAGCGAGAGTGTGCAGTTGAGGTGCGTCCTTGAGCTAAGGGCTTGCGATTTTGACCTAGTAGCAGTATTTTTGGACACGTGACTAACTGGGGTAAGAGATGAGAAGCAAAATTAAGAAGAAACAATACTAACTAAAAGAAAGCAGGATAGAGCAAAATATGTGAACTCGTGAAGCAGAGCTAAGTTTCAAACAGAAATTCATCGACAACACGAGATCATTGTGGTATGGCGCATGTAGCACTCAAGGAATGGGAACAGGGGCTTGCAAGCTTGGGAAGCTTCTGGGGCCCCTTCCCAGCGAGTCGCGGGTCGTCTCTTCGAGGCTTCTCTTCAAAACTATACAAGGTGTGTCTTCTAAAATGGCAAATAAATTAATCTTAAAAAAAAAACACTGGAAATAAAGAACTGATTCCTTCAAGTTGACGTTACCCACCGCGGCAGATGTCAGGAAGGAAGTATAAAATGATCAGAAGAGGATGAGAACATTGCCCTTGGCGTGAACATGTGACGACGTGATGATGACATCATGTACCCATTTTTGGCACCCGCGTTTGAAAGCTGTAAACTAAAGGGCCATTCTCCCGAAGATTAAACATTCAGGTTCATAACAAGTGAATTTAGCAACACTTGCTTTAGTTTACTATCTTATGTTGATCAATCAATAGGTACCCTAATTCATTTGCTGCTTTCATAGAAAACACAGCCAAAACACAGCCAAGCTCTCAGATGTTTATATCATAACAACAAATGTTGCAGCTGTTTCACAGCTTCATTTTTTTTAGTATTGATCAGAATTTCTTTTTTTGCAATATGTATCAACATTTCCAATAACACATATAAAAAGTATAGACTCAAATTTTGTGTCTAGATCAGAAAATAGTTTTGCGAGGGCTGCTTCTTTTGCAAAAGCTTCTTGAAATCTGCCACCTGGTCTGATTGAAAAGTAATAAAACTGATTTTGAAGCACAATATTATTTATTTGTGAGTGTGTCCACATTCTGATGAACAGTGTAGTATCTTTACACAAACCAAAACATAAATTTATCACACACAGATTATAAAGTAAAAACATTTTCCACATACCAAAGCATTCATTCCTTTTTTTGGGGATGGCTGCAAGGAGCACGGAGGTATTGGACCTTGCATTTCGTGCCTGTCATTAAAATATCTACTTGGCCATGAAGTAGCATGGTTATATACTAAATACC